CACCTGGAGGCAGGACTCAAAAGCCTGAATTTTGCCTGAAACTCTCAGACTGAAGAAGTCTCTTGGAAGAGAGACGAAACGTTTCATTAAAGAAGAACACGTCCAGAGGACCTATACAACTTTTTTCCTTTTGATTTTTTACCTGGATTACTGAGATGCATCAGGACATAGTGAAGGCAATGCATTTTTCCACAAAGTATACAAGGATTCTTGTTTGTCTGTGTTTGTACCTGCGTCTAAAGGCCTCCAAGTGAGTTTTGAGCATGAGCAGCCCTCTCTCGATGCAGGTCAGACTGGAATGAGAATCCTTTTCAAGGTTGGCTGAAGCTATCAGAAGACTCTCCATACACTTCCTAATAAACTCCTGCTCCTTCTCCAAACCAGTTTTTCCAGCTGCAGACACAGAGGAGCAAACAGTTTAAATTTAAATTAGTTTTAGAATTGTGCCGCACAGGGTGGCATGGCAGCACGTTGGAGTAGCTCTGTTACTTTCATTGAGATTTTCTTTTCTTTTCAGGTGTTAATTCCTGCCTCCCTGGGGAAAAAGTTACTTTTTTTGGACGGCCGTTCATTTTTGTTTTGGATGCTGTACAGCTGGATTGATTTTTGTCAATATACTTTGTTCTTTGATATGATGCAATAACCACAGAAACAAGGTGTTTTACAACAGGGAGCAGCTGATTAATATGATTAATATAGCAAAAACTGAAATAATACCACAACTGAAGCCACAAATCCCAACGGGGCTGAAAAGGAGGCGTCATGGATGCAGAGCAGGAGCAAAGAGGTGAGAGAGAAGAAGGAAGTTCAAACCATCTCTTTCATCTATCCTAACGGGCAACGTGAGATCGTTAGCTAACAAACTGGATGAACTTGAAGCCCTGACAAGGACTCAGCAAGAGTATAGGGAATGCAGTATTATGTGTTTCATTGAGATATGGCTGCAGGATCTTATCCCTGACTCCAATGTCTCTCTGCCAGGCTTCCAGACTACATGAGCAGACAGAGATTTAAAGAGCAGCAGGAAGAAAAAAGGAGGTGGATTAGCAGTGCTCGTCAACAACAGATGATCATTCAGGACATTTTACTGTTAAGTATCATCATTGCAGTCCAGACATTGAACTCTTGGCAGTAAGTTTCTGTCTTTATTATTTACCAAGAGAGTTCACCAGTGTTACTTTGGCAACTGTTTACATTCCACCCTCAGCTGTTGCCGACAATGCAGTGATTTCATCAKTTCCATTATTGCTAAGATACAGACACAACACTAGGGCTGTGCGGTATATGCGGTAGACGGCAGAAACGGTATGAAGTTGGCCTACGGTAGAAATTTACCCTCGACCATCCTATCGTTATTACGTCATCGCACCTGTGTCAACAGGGCTGCAAGTGCAGAGACAACTGAGCAGGAGTTCGAAATATAATGAAGAAATTCTAAAATTCTCATTTTAAAACATGTAGAGAGAATAAATCCTCAAAATTTCCCTCCTCCCACTGTAGAAAAGTTACGTTCGTCATGTCGTGGGATCATTTCCTCCTCCCTCCCTCTCTTCTCCTCTCCTCTCCTCTCGCTGCACGTCGCACAGAGCTTTAGTTTTTCACACCCAATTGTCGGAGAAAAAACTTGTTTTTTATGTATTGTTTCCCACAGAGATGATTCAAAAAAAGACATGGACATTCGTTCAGTGATAAATCCATCTTGCTAATGTAAAGTTGGCTTCTGCTCTGATGATGATGATGAAGATGAGCGCACAGCAGAGCAGCAGCTGATAAGTTCAGCAGGCAGAAGCTCATTGTTTGGCAGGCAGATATTAAAGCATAAAAGTTGGGTTTAAGATTACAGTTTTCTGCTAAAGAAATGCTCTAAAAATTACATTCTTTACTCTTTATGATAATTTTCTACCGCAATATATACCGTTACCATGAAGGGGTTCAATTTATACCGTGATACCGTGATGAATTTGAAGTCATACCGCCCAGCCCTACACAACAACCCAGTGCATTTGTGGCAATATCTGGTGATTTTAATCATGCCTCACTCTCTGTTACACTGCCAACGTTTCAACAGTTTGTCAGCTGCTCTACCAGAGAAAACACGACATTGGATTTGTTTTACACAAATGTTAAGGATTCATATATCTCCAATGCAAGACCTCCTCTGGGTAATTCAGATCACAACCTTGTTTATCTCTGCTCAGAATATAAACCGCTTGTTCAGAGACAACTTGGACTGTGAGAAAGTGGTCACAGTAAGCTGAAGAAGCCCTCCAAGGCTGTTTTGAAGCTACAAATTGGATTGCTCTTTGTCAGCCACATGGAGATGGCACAAACCTTCTGTGTGGACAACACCATTCCCACCAGAACAGTGAGATACTTCCCTCATAACAAACCCTGGTTCACCAGTGAGCTAAAGGAACTGTTAAACAAGAAAAAAAAGTATTTAGGAAGTGAGACAGGGAGTTATTGAGGAATATACAGAAGCAGCTCAAAGTCAAGATCAGAGACAGCAAGGTGTGTAAAAGAAGCTGGAGAGTAAACTGCAAAGGAACAATTTCAGAGATGTGTGGTCAGGGATGAAGATCACAAAATTCATGCAAAAGGAGAATAGAATGGATGACAGTCTGGACAGAGCAAATGAGCTGAACACATTCTTCAACAGATTCAATTCAGGGCCAGATATTGTCAGCCCTAGAGTCCTGAAGGCCTGTACAGATCAGCTCTGTGGGATTCTTCAACCTTAGCTTGACCCAAGAGAAGGTTCCAGTGTTGTGGAAGACATCCTGTCTGGTTCCGGTACCAAAGAAAACTCAGCCGTCAGCCCTCAATGACTAAAGACCTGTTGCACTGACATCCCACATCATAAAGATCCTAGAGAGACTCCTGTTGACCTGAATAAGCAACAAGCACACATCAGGACCCCCTGCAGTTGGCTTATCATCGTGGAGTTGAAGACGCCATCATACACCTGCTTCAACAAACCCACTGTCATCTGGACAAAGCAGGCAGCACTGTGAGGATCATGTTCTTTGATTTCTCCAGTGCTTTTAACACAGTTCAGCCTGAGTTGCTTTGTCTGAAACTTCAGAAGACTCAGGTGGAGGCCTCAACAATCGCCTGAATCAAAGACTACCTGACAAATAGACCACAGTTTGAGACTGAAGGACTGTGTGTCTAACCAGGTGGTCAGCAGCACAGGAGCACCACAGGGGACTGTAATATCGCTTCAGACTTCCAGCACAAGTCTGTCATCTACAGAAATACTCAGATGACTCTGCAGGTGTTGGGTGTATCAGAGATAGACAGGAAGCTGAGTACAGAGAGCTGGTGGACCGCTTTGTGGCATGGTGTGGGAATAATCATCTCATCTTTAATGTGAACAAAACAAAGGAAATGATTGTRGATTTCAGGAGAAATAGTGTTAGATCAAACCTTATTTCCATCATGGGAGAAGAAGTGGAGGTGGTTCAGGAACTTAAATACCTCGGTGTTAGGGATACACGAGATATCGGTATTGATATCGGTATCGGTCGATATTGGTCATTTTTTAGAATATCGTATCAGTCCAATATGTAAAAGGGGGTCGAAGACCCAAGTGTGTTTTTGCGTATATGTATAATATAATTTGTATGTTTGTGTAATATCGGTAAATTTAGGTTATCGGCCATAACACCAATAATTATATCGGATATTGATCTCGGCTGAAATTTTCATATCGGTGCATCCCTACTCGGTGTTCATCTGAACAACAGAATGGACTAAAGACTCAACAGTGAAGCAGTTTACAAGAACCGACAGAGCAGACTGTACTTCTTGAGGAAGCTGAGATCCTTCAATGTCTGCAGCAAGATGCTGCAGATCTTCTACAAGTCTGATGCTGAGAGCATCACCTCTTCTGCTGTCATCTGTTGGGGCAGCAGCATCAGAGCCAGGGACCTAAAAAGGCTAAACAACCTGATAAAAAAGGCTGGTTCTGTTCTGGGGACGACTTTGGAACCTTTGGAGATGATGGTGCAAAGAAGGATTTTACATAAAATCAAAAACATTGTGGACAACCATGACCATCATCTTCATCAGACTGTCATAGATAAAAAGAGTCTTCAGTTGGAGGCTTCTTCAATTTTGTTATAATACTGACCGCTACAGAAGATCTTTCCTGCCCCCAGCCTTCATCATTGAGATACTACAACATCTAATTTCCATCTGGGTTCAGTAAAGTACTTTTACTTGCATTGAACTGAATTGAATTGAATTGAATTGAATTGAATTGAATTCATAGTTGGACAATAAAACTGAGGCTTTGGTTGTACAGGTTTTTTAAAGCAGTCTCCCTGACCATTGATGTAGTAAGAGTTGATGTACTGGATGGCTGCACGGCTGATATCAGCAGACTGAGCTCTCAGGGCAATCCCCCACAGCTGGTCCATTCCACACAGCTGTAGAAAAGCACAAGACTGAATTAGAAAAAGGTTTTCCTACGAACAAACAAATGTGCTTTAAATGCAATATACTTTTACTCTAAGACTATAGCAAAATCTGTTTTATTCAAAAAGCAAGTTTAAAAACAACAGCAACTGGCCAAAGAGTTATACATAAGACAATGAACATTAAAAACTAATGCTGCGTTCACACCGAACGCGATTTCAGCTTCAAAATCGCATCCAACGCTCAAGTTGGTCGCTTGTGCACTTTGAGGCCAGACGCAGGTCAGCTCTTGAAGAGCTCGCACGGCAAGAGCCTCCCCACCCCTCCCTCCTCTGTCGGGCTCTGTTTAATGTCGGACGAGGAAGTGGCTTTGCTTTATTTACAATGCAAGAGCATGTCACGTTCATCAGATAATTGATTCATAATTAATTCACCAGATAATTCAGAGACATTCTGAGTTTCATCACCCAGGAGCTGCGGGAGAGGCTCACMGCTCGCTTTCAGGACTATTTTTGTCCCGAGTCCAGTCTGATGAGCCGCTGCCACGCATTGGTGCGGATATCTCCTGTCAGGACACCGACTGCAGGCACTCGATTTCAGCTAAAGAGCTCCTCTCCATCTGTTTCAGGTTAGTGGACCCTCATTCAATAAACTGTCCCGTCGGGAAATATGTCGCTACGTCACACAGTGGAGTCTCTCTGATTGGTTGACGCGGCGTGTCGAGCTGCAAAAGTTCAGATTTTCTAACTTCAGCGATTTGCGCCTCAAGCACGTCGAACACTCAGATCATTCAAATCGCGCTGCTCTAATCGCGCTTGAGGCACCGCAGCACTTCCCGATGCTGATTGAAGCGCGTCCACCATAGACTTTGCATGTAAACCTGATGCTCCTGATGCTGAAATCGCGTTTGGTGTGAACGCAGCATAATACTGTACATAGTCAATGAACAGAGACTTTTTACCTCACAGCTGGAGGCATTATCCAGGGTGCTGGTGGCAAGGCGAGCCAGATTACAGAGGTGCTGAAAGAGGTTCAGGCCTGTCATGCTGATGGTTTCTGGTTTCAGCTGAGGCATCTGGAGATGGAATCAAACCAATCAGCACACAGCTGCAGCTGTGGAGCTTTCAAGCGGAACACAAATACATTTACCCTAATACCCTAATACCCAAATGATAAAACTACTCTATTAACCAACACATTCTTGCTACATGAACATATGAATAAAGGTTAAAAACGAAGACACTCCAATTTAATTTTAAGACATTCATAGTAAATCCAAGGGCTGAGAAAAAACTGGACAGTAAATTAAAGCTGTAAAATACTTTATGCGGTGCTTCAATTAATCAATAAATAAATACAGACTGTACTTTTGGCAATTTGAGAGGATAAAAACAGCTTTCATATCTATAGAGCTAGAAGAGTCTCAGTACACACAAACGCACACAGGATAATTCACACGTGCACAGAAAGATTTGCACGTGCATAGGACATGATTCACTTGTATTTCTGCTTTTGCACATGCAAATATATCTTGATTTGCAAAATCCTTGTGCTCTGTGAACATCTAATTAGATATACTAGCTACTTGATGATTTTTAGATTTTATATCCTATACAGTGGCTGTGTCTCAATTCATGGGCTGAGTTCTCATTAGCATGTAGACCACCTGGCTTACRTGGGCCACATCTTTCCCAGTCTGGGTAGGCTGCTTAAAACTACTGTGAAATGAGATGGTCTAGCCTTCACTTGATGTAAGTTTGTGTGACCACACGCTACCCCCGTTACCATAGTGATCAGTTTCATATCAGACTGAAAATGCGTTGGGATGTGTATTTACACGTCTTTTCACTGGAAGAATAACWTCACAGTTAAAACGTTACACCTAAAATAAATAAGAAAACATTAAAAATTCAGGTTTAGCTCCAGTATCAGTAAGTGTAGTTGCACTTTTTAGAAGTCCCAGGATTTTCAGCATACCCCATTAAGTCCTGAAAAAGGGTCAAAAGACCCTTAGTCAAAACCGACGACTCTGATGGCTCCAATTAGCATCCTTTCATTTGTAAATGTAACCATTGCCTTAGGAATCAGCAGGGGGGAGATGAGCCGAACTCAGACAAACGTCTGCCTAATACTCTAAACAGTTGTGAAATCAACTGGTTATATTTTGAATTTATTGGTGGCATGGTGGTTCGCATTTTTAACTAAAGAGACTGGAATTTCAAGATCCTGAGGACAAACCCCCTCCTTCTGCTTAGCAATCTGAGGGCTATTAGTTGCCTTTTGTTATACATATGGCTGCAGCTAATCTAGTCACACCCACCATGCCTGATATTCTCACTCTGTTTCTCAAGGGCTCCTGTTTACAAGTTTTTGCTCTGAAGATGTGGTGTGTTGCAAAGAACATAACTGGATGCCACTGTCTTTTCAGAGCTACAGTAAAAAATTGTAAAGAGAGCAGAAGAGACTTTATACATGGYCTTGCACTGGAATTTCRACAGCGTTTTATGCTGGAAAAGGCCATGATGAAAAAGCCAYATCCCCAGCCTGATCCTGGAARGACAACGCAGTGTCAGGTTCAGACACTCTGCAAAAGAAACCACAGCACAAAACAGTGTGCAGTTTGCAAGAAATATACCTGTCGCAAATGTAGAAAGGAGGAAAACTGGGTGTGTAGTAACTGCTAGATGTGATAGATGTGAAGCAGCTACATCTACATACAAATATCTTTCTTTGTTGTAAAAACAAAATGTATATATTACTTGTGTAAACTGTTCTTTTAAATATTGTAAATAAAACTTGCTGCCAATTCCTGTTTATGTATCTTGATTCCCTCAGCCATGTCTGCAGAGTTTGAGCCGAGGGGGGATATGTAGGTGCAGAGTTTTGGGCTGAGGGGGGATATGCAGCAACACACCACATCTTCAGAGCAAAAACTTGTAAACAGGAGCCCTTGAGAAACAAAGTGAGAATATCATTGGGCATGATGGGTGTGTCTAGATTAGTGCCCCCTCCTGTGGTGCACCAGTAATGGCCTTATTTACAAAACAAAAKCACCTGTTCACAGCTGATATAGAATGTGAGCTAAAATCCTTCAGGTGAATCGACCCCTCTCTGGGTTCCAAAGGTAGAAATGTTAAATAACCCTTCTCAGGGACTCAGTGCAACATGAATTTCCTCAGCTAAGTTGTTACACTTATTTTTAAAAACAAATTCTTTGGTCCGTGATGAATTTCCAAACTACGTCGACTTATTAAAAAAATAAAAAAAAAAATTAAAATTCCACTGTTTGGTTTGGTGTCCGCACATTGAATCCTGGGATATCCTCGGCCGGTGTGGATACTCGGAAGCATCCTCGGTTTTCGAGAGTTTGTGGGCAGTAGGGTTGGGCAAAATCGTATCGTCTGCAATTAATCGTGATTAATTTTTTTGCCAATATTGCCCAACCCTAGACTGGGCAGCATTCCTTGGCTGCATGATGAGGAGCCTTTGAATTGGGACAGTACTCGGCACGGGGCAGTGACATATGCAGCCGACAAATGTGCACTCATGAGGATACAGCCCATGAATTGAGACAGAGCCATTGTGATCAGTTGTAATCATTTAGCTTAACCAGTAAGAGAATAAACAATATGTGCATATAATACAATATGTGCCTCGCTCCAGCAGGGTGAACATATGATAGTTTACATTCCATTCAAGTGCTGACATAAGAGGGACTGCCTTCAGGCTGTGACCATGTTTTCCATAAATGATGGTTTGAACACGTGATACTTTGTTTAGACTCCAAATCACAGACAGGTGAGATGGAGTCTTTAGATCTGAAAATAAACATTCAACTGAGAACTTAAATCAGTTTTGTTATCATGAAACTTACAAAACTTATTTGGACAGTGTATTGATTTATTTTGTCATTYCTGTATTCTAATCTTGATCCTTACCCTAAACCTAGCCAACACCAGTACATAATTAACCCTAAACTAAACTCTATTCATACCCCATTCATACTCTATTCTAACCTGTACCGTAAAATGGCAATCCATAGGACCAGTCTTTGGTCCCCAAAAGGACTAATGATCCTGACAAGTTAGGTGTTTATACCAGAAATGGTCCTAAAAAGATAACAAAAGCCAGGTACACACGTGCACACACACA